CCCACCCACCAACTCACCCACTCACCCACCAACTCACCCACCCACCAACTCACCCACCCACCAACTCACCCAATTACCCACCCACTCAACCACCCACCAACTCACTCACCCACCAACTCACCAACCCACCAACTCACCCCCCCACCCACCAACTCACCCACGCACCCACCAACTCACCCACCCACCAACTCACCCAATTACCCACCCACTCAACCACCCACCCACCAACTCACTCACCCACAAACTCACCAACCCACCAACTCACCCACCCACCCACCAACTCACCCACCATCCCACGCACCAACTCACCCACCCATCCAGGCACCAACTCACCCACCCACCAACTCACCCACCAACTCACTCACCCACCAACTCACCAACCCACCAACTCACCCACCCACCCACCAACTCACTCACCCACCTACCCACTCACCCACCCACTCACCCACCCACTCAACCACCCACCAACTCACTCACCCACCAACTCACCAACCCACCAACTCACCCACCCACCCACCAACTCACTCACTCACCCACCTACCCACTCACCCACCCACTCACCCACCCACTCAACCACCCAGCAACTCACTCACCCAGCAACTCACCAACCCACCAACTCACTCACCCACCCACCAACTCACCCACTCACCCACCCACCCACCAACTCACCCACCCACCAACTCACCCAATTACCCACCCACTCAACCACCCACCAACTCACTCACCCACAAACTCACCAACCCACCAACTCACCCACCCACCCACCAACTCACTCACTCACTCATCCACCAACTCTCCCACCAACTCACCAACCCACCAACTCACCCACCCACCGACCAACTCACCCACCCACTCACCCACCCACCAACTCACCAACCCACCAACTCACCCACTCACCCACCCACTCACCCACCAACTCAACCACCCACCAACTCACCCACTCACTCACACACCCACTCAACCACCCACCAACTCACTCACCCACCAACTCACCAACCCACCAACGCACCCACCCACCAATTCACCCACTCACCCACCCACTCAACCACCCAGCAACTCACTCACTCAGCAACCCACTCACCCGCCAACTCACCAACCCGCCAACTCACCCACCCACCAACTCACCCACTCACCCACCCACTCACCCACTAACTCACCCACCCACCAACTCGCCCACCCACCAACTCACCCACCCACCAACTCACCCACCCACCCGTCTCTCCAGATGTCCGTGACGGGCGCCTACCTGTGGATCAGCTGCATCTCGGGCGTGGCGACGATCGTGTCCCTGTGGGCGATCGGCATCATGTTCAGCCACGCCCGCACCAACCTGGCCAGCCTCAACATCATACCCAAGTTCGCCCTCAACCAGGTCACACGCTCACCCATCCACTCACCTGTCCACCCATCCACCAACCCACTCACTCATCCACCCACTCACTCATTCACTCATCCACCCATCCACCCACTCACCCATCCACTCACCAGCCCACCCATCCACCGACCCACTCACTCACTCACCCACTCACTCACTCACCCACCCACCCACTCACTCATCCACCCACTCACTCACTCATCCACCCATCCACCCACTCACCCATCCACTCACCAGCCCACCCATCCACCAACCCACTCACTCACTCACCCACCCACCCACCCACTCACTCATCCACCCACTCACTCACTCATCCACCCATCCACCCACTCACCCATCCACTCACCAACCCACCCATCCACCAACCCACACACTCACCCACACACTCACCCACACACACTCACCCACACACTCACCCACACACTCACCCACACACACACTCACCCACACACTCACACACACACTCACCCACACACTCAATCCATCCCTGCCTGTTCCCCCATGCCCCCCCACCCCCGCTATCGCTGCAGATGATTCTGATCCTCAGCAGCCTGCAGCTCGCCATCCTCGCCATGCTGGGCACCGCGGGGACCGTGGCGTGCGTGCCGCCCTTCCCCTCGCGCGCACGCGCTGCCAGTGAGAGGCGGCACAGACGACACACACAGACACACACACAGACACACAGAGACACAGACACACAACAACAACAACAACCGCCATTCGCCACTAAGTGGCGGTGACGTCACCACGACGCTTGTGCCAGGCTATGTGCACCCTGAGGCCACGTGAAGTGTCGAACGCCCGCTGGCAGGAGGTCACGGGGCAGACCCAGGTGCCACGGGTCGACTGACTGAGATGACTGGCTGATGCACCACCTGTGCCCCCTACTGTGCCAACCTGCTGTGCTTTAGCCACCCGGCGCTCCGCTCGCTGTTGTGAGCGTCGCTCCTCCGCCCTCCGTTGTTGTTGGAGGGCGACTGCCTCCAACTGCCCAGTAGCATCCTTCACGAGCCTCCTCCACAGAGGCCGATCTTGACACCGCTGGTACCAGTCATCGGCAAGTCCACTCAGCTCCACGTCCTCCTGTACCACATCACTCCATCTCTTCTCTAGCCCGTGCCGCGCCCGCTTAGCCCCCTCAATCCGGCCGAACAAAAGCTGTTTCGGCATGCGGTGGCTGGGCATGCGGGCTACATGACCCAGCCATCGCAGCCTTGCCTGCCGGAGGAGCTCACCGATGGGACCCTGCCCAGATCTTTCAAGGATTTGTGAGCTCCTCACACAATCCAGTCTGGTTAAACCCAGGATGGATCGTAGGCAGGCCAGCCTAAATGTTTCTAACCGGCGAAGATGTTCCATTAGGGGGGTCCACGTTTCGCAAGCGTAGAGTAGGGAGGGAATGACCGTGGCCGAGAAGACCTGAAGCTTAGTGCGGAGCGACAGACCAGGTAGCTTCCACACAGCGTTACGCAACCGATGAAAAGATATTGCCGCTCGACTGATTCAGAGTGAGACCTCTGCTGTTAAACTGGAGCCAGTCATAAGCACACTGCCCAGGTATGGGAAACTCTCCACTCTCTCCACAACTGCCCCATCACCGATTGGGAGTTGTGGGGGTGGAGTGTCCGATGGTACAAAATACCCAGGCAGGTGCTTAGTTTTGGTGGGGCTGATGGTAAGGCCCCACCTCTTAGTGGCACGCTCCAGTCTCAGCAGCAGCGTCTCCAACTCCTCCTCTGACTGAGCAGCTATTACCAAGTCATCAGCATACATAACGTGGTTGAGCAATAGGGAGCCATCCCTTGACCGCACCCGGGCATCGATTAGCCTCCCATTATATCTGTACCATATGGAGATTCCCCCGGTACAGCTATTGAAGGCTTCACGAACTACGTGGTCAAAATAGATGTTAAATAATGTGGGAACCAGAGGACATCCCTGTCGCACCCCAAGGTGTACAGGGAATGGCTCTGACTCCCGGCCACGTAGTTTTACCCGGGCCCGCTCACCATCATGAAGGTCCTTAATGATCGTGAGCAGAGGGTCAGGTACTCCAAAAGCACGAAGAACGACCCAGAACCCAGGCCTACTGATGGTATCATAGGCCTTGACCAGGTCAATAAAGCAGAGATGTAGGTCTTGTTGGAATTCCCTACACCTCTGCTGTAGCAGACGGACAGAAAATATGGCATCTGTGCAGGACCGCCCTTTCCTGAAACCGCATTGGGGCTCCGCAAGCCTCTCCTCAGCGTGCCTGGCAAGGCGATGCTGAATAATCCTTGCCAGGACCTTTCCCGGCACACTGAGGAGTGAGATGCCCCTGTAGTTGTTACAGTCTGTGCGGTCCCCCTTCTTAAAAAGGGGGACCACCAGGGCATCCTTCCAATCCTGCGGAACCCGTCCAGTGGTCCAGACTGTTGTTATGATGTCATATAGGGCAGTCTGTGCACAAACGCCACCCTCCCTCAGCATTTCGCTTGGGAGATCATCTCTGCCCGCTGCCTTTCCTGGTCTCAGACTCCGGATCGCCTTCAATACTTCCTCAGCAGATGGCACCTCAGCCAGCCACTCACAGGGGGTGACTTCATCCAATATTTGAGGCACCGCAGCCTCAGCAGGGTCATCCTCACTTTGTGCCACGATGTTTTCCTGGCTGAGGGATTTTCCCTCCCCCAGGACCTCACAGAAATGCTCAGCAAATCTGCGAACCTGTTCCTGGGGGTCGGAAATTGGATCACCGTTTTTTCCCCTAATGATGGTAATAGGTGTGGCGCTGCAGGTTACTTTTTTGATGGAGTTAAATAGAGATTTGTGATCACGGGCCACTGAGGCAGACTCCATCTCCTCAGCAACCCGCGACCACCACCCATCCTTGCAGCGCCTCACGGCTCTCCGAACCTCCGAGCGAAGGCTGCGGTAAGCCTCCTCATTCTCTGACGTGGGATTCTGTAGCCGATGACAGTGGGCCTGTCGCTTTTTCTCAACCATCCTGAACAACTCCTCTGTCATCCAGGGTGTCTGGGGAGGTCTGGACCGCGTACCCAAAGCAGCCATTGCAGCTGCATGAGTCACAGTCCTAAACCTCGCCAATTTACCCTCGACATCAGGAGGAGTCGGGGACGATGCCAATCCCAGCCGCAAGCGATGATGAAATTCTCGCTTGCAACTTTCATCAGATAACTGAGACCAGGCCACTTTAGGTTGGAATGGGGTCCTGGGTGTACACCCACCACCGGAGTGGAAGAATGGTAGGCGCATCTTACAGATGACTAGTCGATGGTCAGAGGGCAGATCAGCTCCACGGTAGGTCCTGGTGTCAAGGACATGGGCTCGCATTCGCTGGTCCGTCACTATGTAGTCCAGCAGATGTTCTTGCTTGGACCCGGCATGCATCCATGATGTTGTGTGGATGCGCCGATGCCGGAACAGCGTGTTGGTAATTACAAGCCCATGGGCTGCACAAAAATCTAGCAGCCTCCTACCGTTGTTATTGAGCTGATCTGGCCCATGCCCTCCAATCACTCCAGACCAGGTGCCAGTATCATGACCAACTCGGGCATTGAAGTCACCCAACATGAAGACTCTATCCCGAGGGGCCACTTTAGCCAGCACCTGTGACAGGAGGTCATAGAAGGCATCTGACTCATCGGCTTTGCCTGCATCCCTCCACGGATGTTCATCTTCGGTGGGGGCATAGGTAACCACGACCACCATTCCTCGCCTCCGGTTGATGGGAAGGCGAGCCCAAAGTAGCCTGGGGCTTACAGCTTCCCACACCTCACCGCCACGCTCCCACGCCCCCTTCATTCTTTTGTTCAAAAGAAGACCCACACCCTGTTGTTTGGCAGTCTGCTGCCCCGAGTAGAGGACTGTCCACCCCTCATGGTGGCAGGAGCCAGAGCCGGTCCACCGGACCTCCTGAATGCCGCATAGATCCAGGCGGTACCGGTCCAGCTCCCGACAGAGGAGTGGCAGCCTCTCCTCTGCAGTGAGCGTTCGAACATTCCACGTGGCCAACCGTAGTGGCTTTTCGTTGTTTCTGGCGTAGCCCCGAGGGTAGGTATTCAATCTCCTGGCTCCGCCAATTGGGGTTTGGCCAGGAGACGTCATAGACGCCTGGCCCCCCGGGGCCTCCGGCACAAGCTTAGTGGTTACATATTTCAGTTTAATTCGTAGTTTCGTGGTAATTAATTGAAGGTGGAGGGGTTACCAGCCCCTCGCACCCGTCCAGAGCCCCCGTTTAGCCCCTGTGGTGGACACATATGCCATGAGGGGAGGAGCCAATCAAAATTGGATCTCCCCCCACAGTGCTGTCCACGACAGAGTTGCCCGTCCGGCACCGCGAGGAGGTAGGGGGTTGTTTTGCCGGACAGACACACAGACACACACACACAGACACACAGCCACACACAGACACACACAGACTACACACACACAGACACACACACACAGACACACACAGACACACACACACACAGACACACACACACACAGACACACAGACACACTTACAGACTCACAGACACACACAGACACTCACAGACACACAGACACACACAGCCACTCACAGACACACACAGACACTCACAGACACACACAGAGACACACACACAGAGACACACACACAGACACACACACAGACACACACAGACACACAGACACACACAGACACATACAGACACACAGACACTCACAGACACAGAAACACACAGACACTCACAGACACACACAGACACTCACAGACACACACAGAGACACACACACAGACACACACACAGACACACACAGACACACAGACACAAAGACACACACAGACACTCACAGACACACACACAGACAGAGATGCCCCTGTAGTTGTTACAGTCTGTGCGGTCCCCCTTCTTAAAGAGGGGGACCACCAGGGCATCCTTCCAATCCTGCGGAACCCGTCCAGTGGTCCAGACTGTTGTTATGATGTCATATAGGGCAGTCTGTGCACAAACGCCACTCTCCCTCAGCATTTCGCTTGGGAGATCATCTCTGCCCGCTGCCTTTCCTGGTCTCAGACTCCGGATCGCCTTCAATACTTCCTCAACAGATGGCACCTCAGCCAGCCACTCACAGGGGGTGACTTCTTCCAATATTTTAGGCACCGCAGCCTCAGCAAGGTCATCCTCACTTTGTGCCACGATGTTTTCCTGGCTGAGGGATTTTCCCTCCCCCAGGACCTCACAGAAATGCTCAGCAAATCTGCAAACCTGTTCCTGGGTGTCGGAGACTGGATCACCGTTTTTTCCCCTAATGATGGTAATAGGTGTGGCGCTGCAGGTTACTTTTTTGATGGAGTTAAATAGAGATTTGTGATCGCGGGCCACTGAGGCAGACTCCATCTCCTCAGCAACCCGCGACCACCACCCATCCTTGCAGCGCCTCACGGCTCTCAGAACCTCCGAGCGAAGGCTGCGGTAAGCCTCCTCATTCTCTGACGTGGGATTCTGTAGCCGTTGACAGTGGGCCTGTCGCTTTTTCTCAACCATCCTGAACACCTCCTCTGTCAGCCAGGGTCTCTGGGGAGGTCTGGACCGTGTACCCAAAGCAGCCATTGCAGGTGCATGAGTCACAGTCTTAAACCTCGCCCATTTACCCTCGACATCAGGAGGAGTGGGAGACGATGCCAACCCCAGCCGCAAGCAATGATGAAATTCTCGATTGCAACTTTCATCAGATAACTGAGACCAGGCCACTTTAGGTCGGAATGGGGTCCTGGGTGTACACCCACCACCGGAGTGGAAGAATGGCAGGCGCATCTTACAGATGACAAGTCGATGGTCAGAGGGCAGATCAGCTCCACGGTAGGTCCTCGTGTCAAGGACATGGGCTTGCATCCGCTGGTCCGTCACTATGCAGTCCAGCAGATGTTCTTGCTTGGACCCGGCATGCATCCATGATGTTGTGTGGATGTGCCGATGCCGGAATAGCGTGTTGGTAATTACAAGTCCATGGGCTGCACATAAATCTAGCAACCTCCTACCGCTGTTATTGAGCTAATCTGGCCCATGCCCTCCAATCACTTCAGACCAGGTGCCAGCATCATGACCAACTCGGACATTGAAGTCACCCAACAAAATTACTCTATCCCGAGGGGCCACTTTAGCCAGCACCTGCGACAGGAGGTCATAGAAGGCATCCGACTCATCGGCTTTGCCTGCATCCCTCCACGGATGTTCGTCTTCGGTGGGGGCATAAGTAACCACGACCACCACTCCTCACCTCCGGTTGATGGGAAGGCGAACCCAAAGTAGCCTGGGGCTTACAGCTTCCCACACCTCACCGCCACGCTCCCACTCCCCCTTCATTCTTTTGTTCAAAAGAAGACCCACACCCTGTTGTTTGGCAGTCTGCTGCCCCGAGTAGAGGACTGTCCACCCCTCATGGTGGCAGGAGCCAGAACCGGTCCACCCGACCTCCTGAATGCCACAGAGATCCAGGCGGTACCGGTCCAGCTGCGGACAGAGGAGTGGCAGCCTCTCCTCTGCAGTGAGCGTTCGAACATTCCACGTGGCCACACGAAGTGGCTTTTTGTTGTTTCTGGAGGAGCCCCGAGGGTAGAGATTCAATCTCCTGGCTCCGCCAATTGGGGTTTGGCCAGGAGACGTCATAGACGCCTGTCCCCCCGGGGCCTCCGGCACAAACTTATTAGTTATATATTTTAGACGTGGTTTAGTGGTACATTTTTGAAGGTGGAGGGGTTACCAGCCCCTCGCACCCGTCCAGAGCCCCTGTTTAGCCCCTGTGGTGGTGACAGACGCCATGAGGGGAGGAGCCAATCGGAATTGGCCCTCCCCCCACAGCACTGTCCACGACAGAGTTGCCCGTCCGGCACCGCGAGGAGGTAGGGGGTTGTTTTGCACCCACCCACCCACTCACCCACCCCCCCACCCACTCCCCCACCCACTCACCCACCCACTCACCCACCCACTCACACACTCACCCACCCACTCACACACACACTCACTCACCCACCCACCCACTCACTCACCCACTCACTCACCCACCCACCCACTCACCCACCCACTCACTCACTCACCCGCTTACTCACTCACTCACCCATCCACCCACCCACTCACTCACCCACTCACTCACTCATTCACCCACCCACCCACTCACCCACCCACCCACTCACCCACTCACCCACCCACTCACACACACACTCACTCACCCATCCACTCACCCATCCACTCACCCACTCACTCACCCACTCACTCACTCACCCACCCACCCACCCACTCACCCACCCACTCACTAACCCACCCACCCACCCACTCACCCAGCCACCCACTCACTCACCCACTCACTCACCCACCCACCCACCCACTCACCCACTCACTCACTCACCCACCCACCCACCCACTCACCCACCCACTCCCCCACTAACCCACTCACTCACCCACCCATTCACTCACCCACTCACCCACTCACCCACCCACCCACTCACCCACCCACCCATCCACTCACCCACCCACTCACCCACCCACCCACTCCCCCACCCACCCACTCACTCACCCACTCACTCACTCACCCACCCACCCACTCACCAACCCACCCACCCACTCACCAACCCACCCACCCATTCACTCACCCACTCACCCACCCACCCACTCACCCACCCACTCACCCACCCACTCACCCACCCACCCACTCTCTCACTCACCCACCCACCCACCCACTCACCCACAAACTCCCCCACTAACCCACTCACTCACCCACCCACTCACTCACCCACCCACCCACTCACCAATCCACCCACCCACTCACTCACCCGCTCACTCACTCACCCACCACCCACTCACCCACTCACTCACCCACCCACTCACCCACTCACTCACTCACCCACCCACTCACCGACCAACCCGAACCCACTCTTCCAAAATGTGCCACCATCCCCCAAACCCCAACCCCCCCTCCCTCCCACGAGTTCACACCCCTGATAAGAAGTCTCAAAATCATTTCACTTAAAAAAAAAACATTTCTTCGCGTTTCGTTTTGAACTCCGATGAAAAACCCCCAACCGACCCATCAAACCACCGTCCATAATTTCTCCTGCACGGTCACCACGCCGCCTGCCCTCACCCCTGGAGGCATGAACCAGCAGCTGCTCGTCGTGGAGATGTTCCTGGTGGCGCTCGTCTCGCGGGGCGTTTACAGACGACGCTACGACGCAGTCGCGGTTACGGCGGAGGCGTCGAAACTGGGCGCCGGGGGCGGAGGAGAGGGAGGAGCGGAGAACGGATCCAGGGGCGACGTCATCGTCCGCACGTGACACCACAGCAGCAGCGTCATCAGCATCAGCAGCAGTATCAGCAGCAGCATCAGCAGCATCATCATCATCGTCATCATCAGCAGCATCAGCAGCAGCATCATCATCAGCATCAGCAGCAGTATCAACAGCAGCATCAGCAGCATCATCATCATCGTCATCATCAGCAGCATCATCAGCAGCAGCATCAGCAGCAGCATCAGCAGCAGTATCATCAGCAGCAGCAGCATCATCAACATCAGCATCATCAGCAGCAGCAGCATCATCATCACACCCCTCACTCAGTCACTCATTCACGCGCTCACCTAGTCACTCACCCATCTAGTCACTCACCTAGTCACTCACCCATCTAGCCACTCACCTAGTCACTCACCTAGTCACTCACCTAGTCACTCACCTAGTCACTCACCCATCTAGCCACTCACCTAGTCACTCACCTAGTCACGCGCTCGCCTAGTCACTCACCCATCTAGCCACTCACCTAGTCACTCACCTAGTCACTCACCTAGTCACTCACCTAGTCACTCACCTAGTCACTCATCCACGTGCTCACCTAGTCACTCACCCATCTAGCCACTCACCTAGTCACTCACCTAGTCACTCACTCACCTAGTCACTCACCCATCTAGCCACTCACCTAGTCACTCACTTAGTCACTCACTCACCTAGTCACTCACCCATCTAGCCACTCACCTAGTCACTCACCTACTCACTCACTCACCTAGTCACTCACCCACCTAGCTACTCACCTAGTCACTCACCCACCTAGTCACTCACCTAGTCACTCACTCACCTAGTCACTCACCCATCTAGCTACTCACCTAGTCACTCACCCACCTAGTCACTCACCTAGTCACTCACTCACCTAGTCACCTAACTAGCCACTCACCTAGTCACGCGATCACCTAGTCACTCACCCATCTAGCCACTCACCTAGTCACTCACCTAGTCACTCACTCACCTAGTCACTCACCCATCTAGCCACTCACCTAGTCACTCACATAGTCACTCACTCACTTAGTCACTCACCCATCTAGCCACTCACCTAGTCACTCACTTAGTCATTCACTCACCTAGTCACTCACCCATCTAGCCACTCACCTAGTCACTCACTTAGTCACTCACCTAGTCACTCACCCATCTAGCCACTCACCTAGTCACTCACTTAGCCAATCACTCACCTAGTCACCCATCTAGCCACTCACCTAGTCACTCACCTAGTCAATCACTCACCTAGTCACACATCTAGCCACTCAGCTAGTCACACGATCACCTAGTCACTCACCCATAAAGCCAGTCACCTAGTCACTCACTGACCTAGTCACCCATCTAGCCACTCACCTTGTCACCAACCTAGTCACTCACTCACCTAGTCACTCACCTAGCCACTCACCTAGCCACTCACCTAGCCACCCACCTAGTCACCCACCTAGTCACTCACCTAGTCACCCACCTAGTCACTCACTCACCTAGTCACTCACCTAGTCACTCACCTAGTCACTCACTCACCTAGTCACTCACGTAGTCACTCACTCACCTAGTCACTCACTCACCTAGTCACTCACCTAGTCACCCACCAAGTCACTCACCTAGTCACCCACCTAGTCACTCACCTAGTCACCCACCTAGTCACTCACCTAGTCACCCACCTAGTCACTCACCTAGTCACTCACTCACCTAGTCACCCACCTAGTCACTCACTCACCTGATCACCCACCTAGTCACTCACCTAGTCACCCACCTAGTCACTCACCTAGTCAATCACCTAGTCACTCACCTAGTCACTCACTCACCTAGTCACCCACCTAGTCACTCACCTAGTCACCCACCTAGTCACTCAACTAGTCACTCACCTAGTCACTCACTCACGTAGTCACTCACCTAGCCACTCACCTAGTCACTCACTCACGTAGTCACTCACCTAGCCACTCACCTCGTCACTCACCTAGCCACTCACCTAGTCACCCACCTAGTCACTCACCTAGTCACTCACCTAGTCACTCACCTAGCCACCCACCTAGTCACTCACCTAGTCACTCACTCACCTAGTCACCCACCCATCTAGCCACTCACCTAGTCACTCACCTAGTCACTCACCTAGCCACCCACCTAGTCACCCACCTAGTCACTCACCTAGTCACCCACCTAGTCACTCACTCACCTAGTCACTCACCTAGTCACTCACCTAGTCACTCACTCACGTAGTCACTCACCTAGCCACTCACCTCGTCACTCACCTAGCCACTCACCTAGTCACCCACCTAGTCACTCACCTAGTCACTCACCTAGTCACCCACCTAGTCACTCACCTAGCCACCCACCTAGTCACTCACCTATTCACCCAACTAGTCACTCACTCACCTAGTCACTCACCTAGCCACTCACCTAGTCACTCACCTATTCACCCAACTAGTCAATCACTCACCTAGTCACCCATCTAGCCACTCACCTAGTCACTCACTTAGTCACTCACTCACCTAGTCACTCACCCATCTAGCCACTCACCTAGTCACTCACCTACTCACTCACTCACCTAGTCACTCACCCACCTAGCTACTCACCTAGTCACTCACCCACCTAGTCACTCACCTAGTCACTCACTCACCTAGTCACTCACCCATATAGCTACTCACCTAGTCACTCACCCACCTAGTCACTCACCTAGTCACTCACTCACCTAGTCACCTAACTAGCCACTCACCTAGTCACGCGATCACCTAGTCACTCACCCATCTAGCCACTCACCTAGTCACTCACCTAGTCACTCACTCACCTAGTCACTCACCCATCTAGCCACTCACCTAGTCACTCACATAGTCACTCACTCACTTAGTCACTCACCCATCTAGCCACTCACCTAGTCACTCACTTAGTCATTCACTCACCTAGTCACTCAACCATCTAGCCACTCACCTAGTCACTCACTTAGTCACTCACCTAGTCACTCACCCATCTAGCCACTCACCTAGTCACTCACTTAGTCAATCACTCACCTAGTCACCCATCTAGCCACTCACCTAGTCACTCACCTAGTCAATCACTCACCTAGTCACACATCTAGCCACTCAGCTAGTCACACGATCACCTAGTCACTCACCCATAAAGCCAGTCACCTAGTCACTCACTGACCTAGTCACCCATCTAGCCACTCACCTTGTCACCCAACTAGTCACTCACCTAGTCACCAACCTAGTCACTCACTCACCTAGTCACTCACCTAGCCACTCACCTAGCCACTCACCTAGCCACCCACCTAGTCACCCACCTAGTCACTCACCTAGTCACCCACCTAGTCACTCACTCACCTAGTCACTCACCTAGTCACTCACCTAGTCACTCACTCACCTAGTCACTCACCTAGTCACTCACTCACCTAGTCACTCACTCACCTAGTCACTCACCTAGTCACCCACCAAGTCACTCACCTAGTCACCCACCTAGTCACTCAACTAGTCACCCACCTAGTCACTCACTCACCTAGTCACCCACCTAGTCACTCACCTAGTCACTCACTCACCTAGTCACCCACCTAGTCACTCACTCACCTGATCACCCACCTAGTCACTCACCTAGTCACCCACCTAGTCACTCACCTAGTCAATAACCTAGTCACTCACCTAGTCACTCACTCACCTAGTCACCCACCTAGTCACTCACCTAGTCACCCACCTAGTCACTCACCTAGTCACTCACCTAGTCACTCACTCACGTAGTCACTCACCTAGCCACTCACCTAGTCACTCACTCACGTAGTCACTCACCTAGCCACTCACCTCGTCACTCACCTAGCCACTCACCTAGTCACCCACCTAGTCACTCACCTAGTCACTCACCTAGTCATCCACCTAGTCACTCACCTAGCCACCCACCTAGTCACTCACCTAGTCACTCACTCACCTAGTCACCCACCCATCTAGCCACTCACCTAGTCACTCACCTAGTCACTCACCTAGCCACCCACCTAGTCACCCACCTAGTCACTCACCTAGTCACCCACCTAGTCACTCACTCACCTAGTCACTCACCTAGTCACTCACTCACGTAGTCACTCACCTAGCCACTCACCTCCTCACTCACCTAGCCACTCACCTAGTCACCCACCTAGTCACTCACCTAGTGACTCACCTAGTCACCCACCTAGTCACTCACCTAGCCACCCACCTAGTCACTCACCTATTCACCCAACTAGTCACTCACTCACCTAGTCACTCACCTAGCCACCCACCTAGTCACTCACCTATTCACCCAACTAGTCAATCACTCACCTAGTCACCCATCTAGCCACTCAGCTAGTCACGCGATCACCTAGTCACTCACCCATAAAGCCAGTCACCTAGTCACTCACTGACCTAGTCACCCATCTAGCCACTCACCTAGTCACCCAACTAGTCACTCACCTAGTCACCCACCTAGTCACTCACTCACCTAGTCACTCACCTAGCCACTCACCTAGCCACTCACCTAGCCACCCACCTAGTCACCCACCTAGTCACTCACCTAGTCACCCACCTAGTCACTCACTCACCTAGTCACTCACCTAGTCACTCACCTAGTCACCCACCTAGTCACCCACCCACTTCCTCCTCTCTCACTATAATTCGAGGCATTCCTCACCGCCACCATGGTCTATCCACTGCTGGTTGATTATCAACAGCGGCGGATTCTGTAGCACCCATTAAAGATGAGAAATTGAGACGGAGCTCGCTCGTGCCTCGCTGTTGTCCGACGTTCCGTGCTTGCACCCTGCTGGGTTCATAATGGCCGTGTCCACCCCGCAAACCCCCTCCCCCAGGCCCAACCACATCCACCCCTCACCCCCTGTGGGCGGGGTCACGCCACTAGTGGGCGGGGTCACGCCACTAGTGGGCGGGGTCACGCCACTAGTGGGCGGGGTTACGTCACTAGTGGGCGGGGTTAACCGACCTGTGGGCGGGTTTACCCCACTAGTGGGCGGAGTTAACCGACCTGTTGTTGGTGAGGGTTCTTAAAGGGACCCTGCTTGAGTAAGAGGGTTCTTAAAGGGACCTTGTGGTGAGTGAGAGGGTTCTTAAA